TTGGGCCTAGGAGTCTCCACCCAAACAGCTGAACTCTGTCCAGCTACTGGGAGTTGCCAAACAGACAGTTATTAATCACCTGCTGTTGCTGGCCCTGCTCTAGATACAAACAACCCAGTTGTTGGCCTCGCAGGGGGGCTCCAAAGAGCCAGTCACTCCCTACCAGGGTCCATCCCCCAAGATGGTCCACAGGGGCTATAGGGAAAGACTAGGCTGTGCCTTTACCCAGATGCAGGGCACACAGGGATACAGAGGCAGGGACCAATCAGGACAGAGCTGCCCACACTAAGAAAGGAAGTGCTCCAGGGCAAAGGCTGAGGGCTTGAAGCCAGCAAGTCTGCCCTGCCCACAGGGTTCTTCAGCCAGTGAGGACAAAGGGTGCTCAGATGTGTTTATTGATACCTGCCCCTGCAGGAAGTGTCCATTCATATAGGCCAAGGAGGCCGGGAAGGGGAAGCGGGTTCTATTGGAGGAAGCGGACCTTCCAGCACCTTGGGAAAGCATCCATGCATCCGGGGCTGGAGGTTAGCAGTGAGCATACCTCCCTGGGAGGGCCTGGGCAGCTGACCAGAGGCCCTGGCCAGTGGATGCTTCTCTGGATGACTCTCCCAGACATGCCAGGTCCTCCCTGAGGAGGACGGTATACAGCCCAGGCTACCAGCTAGCCTCATGACCTCATGCTGTGAAGACTTGCTACACCTCTGAGTCAGGTCTTTTTGTCCCCTAGCATCAGGACAGGAGGCTAAGTGGCAGTAATAGCAACAGGGCTCCTGCTTTGTGCCAGCATCCTTCTGAGCACTTTTACTTGCCCTTACTTGATCCTCCCATCCTATGAGGTAGGTACTAATATCATTTCACAGGTGAGAAAACCAAAGCACAGAGAGGTTAAGTAGCTTCCTAGCTAGTAAGTGGTGCTGCCAGGATTTAAACTCAGGCACTTGGCTTCAGGAGGTCTGGTGCCATCTGCCTACTCTCTAGAGCAGTTATTTTCAGCCAGTGTGCTGTGAGAGGATCATAGGTGTGCCACAAAAAAATTTTAAAGATCATTAATTAAATTATTTTCAACAGAAGTTCAAAGCATAGTAAGCATCTTTTTTTTTACTCTTTTTTTAAATTTACATAATTTAAGTGTGCCGCAGAAGTTTAACTATAGGTTCAAGTGTGCCATGAAGCAAAAAAGGTTGAAAAACACTGCTCTGGAGACTAGAGTAGCCAGGGCCTGCCTAGAAGTCCCACCTCCTTTTTGCAGAGGGACACAGGGTCTGGCCAATGAGGAGCGCCCAGCTTGCTGGCAGCATGTATAACACAGATAGTTTTACTTTTGGTTTTACATTAAATAACATTGAATCATCCGTAAAGAAGGTTATTCCCTTTTCAATTCTCTTTCAGTCCTGATGACATCAAAATGAAATTCTCAGTTTAATGCCAATGTCTCTAAAACCTTTCTCTCTCTCTCTCTCTCTAACTCGCTCATCTCCTCTTTATTTCTTTTCTTTTCTTATTTTCTTTTGCAAGGGGCAGCAGCAGGTTTAAGACTCAGAGCCTTCCCCAGACTAAAGTTTCCAACTAGAATTTAATACCCATATTTGGTTTTCTTACTACGTATTTTATGGTTTTGTTCTATTTATGGCAAGTGATAGTAGATTTCCACTTATAGGAGTGATATAAAGTTTCCTTTAAAAATCTACTTACTCAAAAGAATGAGCAAATGTAAAGAAAAAAAATAAGTAAACATGATAATAGGCAGACAATGAAGAAATCATAAAGGTGATAAGCAAATGACTGAAGCTTGGGAAACACGATCATAGATTTACCCTTCAGAAGAGAGTGAATAGAACATGCCACCCAACCTGAGAACATGCCACCCAACCTGCCTTTATCGCACAGATAAAGAAGAAGTATGTGTGGTCCCCCAATGAGTGAACCTCAGAGGTCAGACTTAACCCCAGGTCCCCATGGAAAATAAGATCCTATGTAGACAAGTTAAAGGAACTGGGCCTGCTTGGTGAGTAGCAGAGCAACTTCATTACTGAATTACTAAAGGATGGACAGGATGTTAAAAGGAGACCCTGTAGACACCTCCCTGGACATTTCAAACTATAAGTGCCTATAGGTGCCTACAGGTGGCTGAACTGATGCATCCCTGAGAGTCCGGGATTTTGGAGAAGCCACCCAATACCTTCCCATGCCCTGGGCACCACAGGGACCTGCAGGCAGCAAGGAGCTCAGATGGGAAGCCAATGGCATATGGCCTCTGGAAGCCATGACAATATTATATAGCATTCACAACAAGCCAGGTGCCTTGTTAAGTGTTCATCAGCTCTTCCCAACAGCCATCTGAGGGAGGTCCTATCATCATCCTCATTTTAGAGATGTGGAACTTGTTCCGGGATGCTGAGTAACTTGCCCAATGTCACACAGCAGTATGTGGCCATCTTGGGATCTGAACATAGGTCTTACTAACTTCCAAAGCCAAACAGCAAAGGGCTCTACAGAAGCCCAGGTGTGCAGGGCACACTACCCCAGGCCTAAGACCCCATATACTGTATGCATATAGGGAGGTGGCCTTTTTTAACTTCCCGGCAATGAGCCATCCTCTACCATGGAGGTTACTCCCCAGCAGAACTTTGACCTGCTTGAGGGAAAACAGGAGCAACCAGCCCAGCTCAGTAAGAGCCTCTCAATATTTCTGGCTCTTAGGTGCCCCTGGAATTGAGTATTTTTGCCTCGTGCCATGGACTGGCGGACTGGCCTCAGGCTGTTTCTCTCCACTTCAGGGCCTCTGGGCAGTGGGTTGTGGATTTCCTAAGACCTGACCATTGCTGTGTCAGAGGCTTGCAGCATTGGGTTACTCAACAAGTCAACAAGTAAACAAGGTCCTGCCTAGTTTACTCTTAAGGGGAAAGTGGGGTCTTCCCTCCCTAGCCTCAATGCACCTGAGCTTAAAATTGTTAGTCCCAAAGTTTAGGACTCCTCAGCGCATAAGGACAGGGCAAGGATAGTAACTTCCACAGGTCCTGGGCATGCCTATGGGGAAGAAGAGGCTCTGCCAGCCTTTGGGTTTGCTGGGTTCTGGCTCTTTAGATGCTCCCTACACCCATCTCAGCTTGACTCAGGCCTGGAAAAGGGCATCTTCAATTTCCCTGGGCTCCTAAACACCACATTCACCATTACCATTCTACCTGGTGCTGGCCCAGCCCCTAAATCTGGAAAAACAGTTCTACATGTGCCATGCCATCTCATCTTCTCAGGCACAAAGGCTTTGACCTTTAGCAATTCTACCCAGAGCTACCAGCCCCTCAGCAGTGAGCATTCTTCCCAACTCACAGACCCTCTGTACCTCCTGCTACCCAGCTACCTCCCTTCTTGCACACTGTACTGGGGAGTTGGAAACTACCAGTTGATGCAGTGGAAACCTGCATCAAGCCCTTATTATCTCCCTGAGCTGGACCCAGGAAGGGAGGGCCTTTAAGTGCACCAAGTCGTTTGATAGCCAAGAGGCTCTGCCACCCCAGTGAAGGCTCCTAGGAATGTGGGCAATGGAGGGCAAGGGGCTTTGCTCAACTCTCAGAGCTGCCCTGCTACTACATGTTCCACAAGCTGGGCTCTGGTCCTCTAGAACTCAGTTTCCAGATGGGTTGCTAAATAGGACAGCCCTGCGAAAAAGTGCAGGAAGGGGGCAAGAAAACAGGAAGGGCCTTGTGGGGTCACTTGAGGAGGATGGGGCAGGACAGGTGGCCCATGGGGGGGAGGGGTGCTGGCCTTCCTGCCAGCCATCATCTCCTGCTCCTTCTAGAAGCCATGCCCTGCCATGAGTATGGCCTTGATGCTGGGACTGCCCCAGTCCTACTCCCACCCCTGGTCTCCCTCTCCCTCTGGCTGTCATCTTGGAGAACATCCAGGCTGGGTCTTAGGTAGCCCCTTCCTCCTCAGAGGCCCAGGCCAGCCTCCCGAGTGCTGAGATAACATGCCACCCCAGTTTCTGAGATGTCTTTCAGGCTTTCCCGGTCTCCTCCTCTCCCTCTTACTCATTCCCCTCTCCTCTTCTAGCCCACCCATTGGGTCCCTCTGCCAAGCCCTCTGACTCTCTGAATGACTCACACTTTCCCTGGGACCTCCCCATAAAGTCTGGTTCCATGGGCTGCCTGCTGGCCCCCTCTTCTCTGAGACCTAGCCTCTTCGGCTCTGGGCATTTAAAAACCAGAGCCAGGCTATGGGTACTAGGGCCTCTACCCTCCCCGGAAGCCCTTGCATCCTGGCCAGGATACCATCTGGAGTCTGAGCTTGGGAAGGGGAAAGTGGTGCTTCCCTGTGTGGGGCTTCTGTGTTTGAGCTGAGGAACCTGAGGCCAGAATTATCCCAGAAGGGGCTCATGCTGTGCTGGGAAATGC